GGGCGCGCGGCGGCGGCGGCGGCGGCGGCGGGGAGGGAGGCGTTGGCACGGGCGCTTGTCAGGGCCGGGGGTGGGACTTGGGACTGTCCCCTGCCGGGGCGCGTGTGGGGGGAGGGGGTCCCCTCTGCGCTGGACGTGTCGTCTTCAATTCTTCTGCGACTGGGCCCAGGTGTTCCTCTGCCCCGCGGGTGGGGGTGGGGTGGGGGGCTGGGATGAGGCACTGGCTGGGTTGGGCTGTCTGTTGTCCCTGTTTCTCGTTGGGAAAGTAGCACTGATTGTGAGGCGCAAGGAGCAGGTGACCCTGGAAGCACTGGGGGCCGCTGAGCGGGAAGCTCTCTGCTGAACAGCCTCTACCTCCGGGCAGGAGGGCTGTGGCTTCAGTCTTGGGGGTCAGGAAGAGGCCTACTCTTGGGAGAGACCCCAAGTTAAGGGGTCCTTCTGAGAGACCCCCCCTTGAGCCTCACCGGAAGTGGAAGCCCTGAACACCTCAAAAGTGTGAAGGAAGGGCTGGAATTGGGGACACGAGGCCTAGAGACCAGAGGGACAGCACTGCACTGTCCTGCCTCAGGCAGGCTGCAGAGACACGTGGGGATCAGAGGAGCAGGGGACCTCGGGCATGGAGCCCTGAACTGAGGCTGGGTTGGGAGGGAGGCAGGGGCTTGGGGGGTGGCAGGGGGTGGGCCCTGGGGAGAGGAAGCAGGTAGGTTCACTATGGCCAAATACGGTTGTGACCCCAAGAAGACACCTTCTCAGTGAGACAGCCCGGAGTCCCCAGAATCTTTGCCTCTTATGGGGCAGTGCCAGTGGGTAACAGGGCCTCTGCACGTCAGCTGGCGTGCTGGCCTTGATGGGTGGGAAAGCAGCGATAAGGACAGGACTTCCCTCAGGCAGCCTGCTCCAGCCCCAGGGGGCTTGGGGGGCAACTGCCCAGGGACCCCTGTGAGCCAGTGCAGTCACCCGTCCTGACTGGGGAGGTCTCTTTCAAGAGGCCAGCCATTGAGCACGAGGCACCCCGAGAGGATTTGAACGCAGTCAAGTTAGAGCTTTGGTTTGGGGGCAGCTGTGAGTCCCAGGACCCCACCCCCGCTGCCCTGTCTGTGCTGGTGGGGATGGTCAGGCCTGGGCTCTGTTGGGGCTGCCACCCTGGAGGCGTGAGTGACAGGACCAGGTGGGGTGGGGGAGGCAGGCAAGGCAGGTTCCATTGCCAGAGAGATGGGCAGAGACAGCTGCTGGCTGAAGTGGAGGGTGTTAGGGTTAGACGCGGCGCAGGGAGGGCAACACCAAGCGCAGGGCAGGGCAGGGCACCCCCTTGTGCCGGGGTAAGGTGGGGTGGATGGTGACGTGAGCCCAGGATCTGCATCCCTTCCCCTAACTGCCTCCTCCCCGCCACCTCCCGCCACTTTATGGCCCCTGGACCTCTCTGGCCCCGTTCGTCTCCTTTCTGGGCTCTGCACAAAAGGGGTCTGCAACACTTCTCTGGGAGACATTTGTAGCTCATCCGCCCCACCTGACTGCTCAGGGATAGTGGCCTGGGAATGCCACCTGCCCGTGGTTCCCCTGATCCCTGACGTCTGCCCTCACTGGGGTAGCCTGAGGAGTGGAGGAGGTCTGTGGGATGGATCCTTCTCTGCCTGGGGGGCGGGCGGGGGACCTAGATGCACCTGGTAGAGATGCTCCCGCTTTGGACTCACACGGGGCTCCCTGGCAGCCCACCTGGAGCCCGGCTTCCTGCTCCCAATCAGAGAGACCTGCCAGGGTCTGACGTCAGCCCCTCAGGTGCCCTTGCCCTGCCCCCAGCCTTCACCCTGGCAGAGGTGGGGGAGGGGGATAAGCCGGGGAAGCCCCTGGGTGTGGAAACCCGGAGTCAGCCGAAGAGAGTAAGGTCTGAGACCAAGGGGCCGAAATCCGGGGTGGGGTAGCGGCGGAAAGGGGGGTGAATGCGGAGGGGCTGAGGAGCCTGGGGAGGAGGGGGCGTGGGCAGGGGCCGCGCGGACCGCGGAGCCCGCGTCCCGGTGGCCCCCGTGCCAGGAGCGGCGGCGTGACCTTGGCGAGGTCGCTTTTCTCCTTGAGCCGCAGTTGCCTCATCTGTCAAGTGGGGACGAGCCGGCCTGTTCGGTCCCCTGCAGAGCAGCGTGCGCCGTGAGCATCCTCGCGAGGCGCCATTCCCAGCCCTCGGGTACCTGCCGCGCCCGCGCCGCTGCCCTGGCGCCCGCCT